CAGTCTTACAGATTGAATAATTTTTCAACAGTGTTGACAATTTTACAAATCAAAGTATGGTGTCTGTTACACATTCCAGAGAGCTTTCTGTTTAATTCATGAATGAAATAAAAAAACTGCTATAAGACTCTCAAGTAGCACACTTTGTTATCTATCACAATCACCATGCTGTCAGAATTGTTTTGTCATGCAAAACCTCTGAAAATCATTAACTTGTTCAAAGATGCATTCTCCTATTATTTCTCTCTTCCCCCCAGTTCTGTCTATTACTGAATCCCAAGTGAAAATATGTGTATTGATCACACAAACTCATATGTGCATCATCGATCACCAGATTACAATAAGCAATCTACTGTGTGGTATAAGGAGAACTAAATACTGAAATGCTCTGCATTGGATTTCTAACAACCTTCCTCACATACCATCAGATTTTTATTTAGCATAATCCATCCACAGTAATTCATCTATTCAACAGAAATAAATGATTTCCACATTTTCCGAAAATATCTCTCTATGAAGTGTTTAGTGGATCATGCGTTTTACTCCAAAGTAGTTTGGGAAAGAGGTTTATTTCTGAATGAGTTATTTGTGCATCTGCAGCGCCTGAGCTCACCTTTCTTCCAACAGGTGTGATATTACCTCCTGCGGGCAGTTCAGCTGGATTTTGGAGCTATTAAGGCTTCTCTCATGCACTGCAATCCTGGATAGAAAACTACTGACTTTTCAGAGCAATGTGGATTCTGGTGACATGAAGGTCATGAACCACCGTTAATATTTAATATAAAATGTCAATCTAATTGCTTTCATTCTCTGCAATTGTTGTTTAAACTATACTCTGAACTGCCAGCATTATGAGTCATGGGTTAGGCGCAAACATCTGTTGCCACTGGCCACCAAGCACCATCATTTGGTGACAATAGTACATTTTTGGTGGCTGATTTAATCTTGTGAAAGCGGAACAGGAAGGCTCTTTTTTAAACTGTGATGTTATCTGAATTAAATAATAATTTACTCAAATGTTAACCCTGTATTCTTTTTTTTCTTCTTTAGTGCACATTATTTTTTTATATAAAAGCACAATTTAAATGATTAGGGAATGAATAAATGTATAATTTTTTATACAAACGTGAGCTTTGATTGAAAAATCCTGTGCTAGTTTCAGGCAAAAAAAGATGACATTTGATCACATCCGATAAAAGTTTGCTCCCACTGTGCGGCATCGTTTTGCTCGCAGATTTTGAAGCCAGCTTGCGTCACAATCAGTTAGAACACAGACACCAAATTCTCACACGCGGTCTCCTTCTCAATGGATACCTGATTGACCTCAGTGGTCACAGGAGGCCGCTGAAGGAGGTGTTTGGTGTCTTGTGACTATGGTCAATGATTCAATCCGCTTGCTCTGGTGACCTTGACCTTCATGCAGGAGGAGAAAACAATAGTGCCGTAAGCAAATACATTAAAAAATACTTCACCTTCACGATGTCACCGGTACTATATACTGTGCAACCTGATAGTTACCCAGTTCAGATAGTTACGGGTTCAGCGGCATCACCAGTCACAGGCGATGGACAGCTGAGAACATCCTCTCGTGGGAGCTGCAGTAACAGGTCACAGGGTCGACGTTGGCAAAGGCCAATTTGACTTCACATTGGCAACGGCACTTTCACTGCTGCAGGTCTCGTAGACTGGATCACACAGCTAATCAGCCCAGAGTGGATTTGCTACGACAAACCTGCCTCTAATATTAGACTGTAGCCGTGTGGCACTCGCCTTTCTCACTTCTCCAACGGAAGGTTAAAAGCCTGCACCTCACTTTAATTAGAGGGTTTTACATCGGTTTTTGTAGGTAGGCCTGTATAATTAAAACAGTACAATAATACAATCAAAATACATTACATTGATTTACAAATTTCTGACATTTACAGATCCAAGCTTTTTATTTCTCATTTGCACCAATGATTAGAAAAGCAGTAGAGTACCAACCTCCAGAATAACAAAAATGGTATAATTCCGGAATGATGCGTAGTAATTATCATTATTATAGTCAGTCAGTTGCATCATAAAATAGTTTTTATATCGCTTGGCTTTAAGCGGCACACTCGTAAGGTCAAATTCCTCCGATGTCGGGAAACAACAACGCTGCACTGACAGCTTTTGACGATGAAAGTGCAGTTGGCATTAAAATGTATGTTGTGTGCCACCGATTACCTGTTGGCAGTTTATAGAAGCCAATCGTGTATTTCTGAAAGGTTCACAGATCCCCGATGGCTCTCTCTTTGTACCGAGGAGCTCTTCTACCATTTATTTAATCAATATGACCTAATATGACTTAAAGAGAATACCACTCAATATGACCAGTCCAGATGTTCATAATACTTTATTCCTTTTCTCTTTTCATATCCTTACTTTATTTTTGGAATTAGATGTGTAAGATGTGTGTCTGAGAGTCCTTTAATTAATCAATCAACAAACCAACAACTTAGAATTGGCAAGTGATGAAAAAATGCAAAAGAAATGAGTATGAGTATACAAACCAAGCCTGAAAGTGTAACCTCCTTCTTTCAATCAATCAAGATGAATCCCATTATTAGTATAGACCAATAATCCAGTGATTAACACATGACTCTACAAGAAATAGATTCCACTACCCTCTGTGGGGTGAATGACATCAGAATTTAATAGATATTTTGGGGAACATTTGGGGAACATCACTGATAATTGGCCTTCTCAATAACAATTACAAGCGGTTAGTAATTTCCTTCTCTTGCAATAACGATTCAGCAACAAATCAACCAGACACATGGGGACCTCAACGTCTGGATTTTAATACTTAGTACAACAAGATTAATTGGATCAAGTAATTGCAATGTATGATGGTAATTCTAAATACAGATTCTTATAAATTAGTTGATTAAAATTTATATTGGTGTGCAATTATGATATTGAAACTACTTTCTAGTTGTGTTTGTAGATTAGCACAGCGATACGATATACATGTACAGCACTGAGAGCAATTTGGTCTTATCCCTACATTTTCTGTCCTATATTATTAGATAAATGATAGATTAAACACCTCTGTCCCCATAGGGGACACTGTTAAACTAAACCGCCGCTTACACTGATAACTTTTTTGCGAATACGCTTTGGGTCTCGTGGATTACCAATCATAAAAGTGCAGTAATTGTGGGCTTTTTGCAAAGCTAACACAGCAAACATCACAGCTGTGTGCCCAATGGGATTTTAAGCTGTGCTAAACTGTGTGTGGAAAAGTGAAATAGCGCATGATATCAACTAATACTGTTAATTCTCTGGTTTTTGCATCTGTGTAAATTAGATACAACGTTACCGCGCACACACAGACGCCGCAATGACTATGTTGCAGATACAACAGCAGAGGTGTGTTTTCATGTGGCTGACTCCCAGCAACACCTAGTCTCTCAGTCTAATGAGATAACCCCTTCTGACAGATTGCAAGTACCACTTTCCCTCTATTGCATAATTTAAACTGACCCCTCTAATTGGACAATGATTCAAGTCATCAGCCAGCGGGAGAAGGTCACGCTTGTCTGAATAAAATCCTGGTCAAGACTGACATGGATTTGTTCATCATGGGCAAAATATCAAAGTGATTCATGAATAAACACTGAATCAGAGAATATATTATTAATCTGCACGACTCAGCTACATCATTAAACTTCGGCTGTTGCATTGGTGGCATCTTATTTTAGACTACAAATCTTTATGACAATGCTTGGGTCAAATGTATTTTTAATCCTCACCCTGAGCCAAAAATCTTTAACTTAAGCTTGACCAAGACCTGTGCCCCTGAACCCCCATCATCACAGGCTTATTCCACCAACTTCAGAAGACATTGATCATCCTGACCTCTGAACAAGCATTGTGAAAGGTTCAGCAAAGTACATCCTTCAGTAATAACGCATAGATACTGAAATGTAACTTGAACTCAGTGCTTGGGTTGGCTTCTGGTTTTAAACCCAAACTGTAGGAAATTGGATTTCTTCGTTGATTACTATTACAAACAGGTAAGCTGGAATATATAGAACATGTATAATTTGTTAGAAAACAAAACCTGTATATTTAAGGCCGTATATTTGACAACTTCTGCCTCCAAGTGGCCCAAAAAACGAATAGTACTACTTCAAATTGTGTTACCGCAATCATTAGTTAAAGGTTCAGATTACTGTGTCAGAAAACAGCTCGGGTGGATTACGTTGCTCTTGAAGAGGCTTATTTACTGCAGCAAATTGTTAACAACCAACAAGGGCAGCTAATCCTCTTCACAGAATGCGGCGAGGGCGACTAACAACATGGAGCCTTCCCACCCTGATACTCAACAACAGGCGAGGCCTCGCATGCTTCCATAGTCGCTTCTGTCAGCACGATCAGCACCCAGCAGAGAGGATGAGAGGACACGTTAAGGAACAGACACATTCCCCATCCTGCTTCCTTTTTTTAACATTAAAAATGTTTATACGGAAAGACACCTGAGTAAATGCAGATGGACTGATTGGGTTCAGGCAGCAGAGGAGGATCCGACGGGTACATGAAAAAGGAAGGGGCGGGATTACAAGAACAGAGGCCTGAACTTGGCTGTGCAGCTCCAGCAGGAATGAAGTCCATTGTCCGACTGGAAGCTGGGTGAACAATACTGCCACAAAACTGCCACCCCGACCTCACTTGGCTTTGCTGTGCAAAGGCGTCCACGGAGGACGAAATCAACCGTAAAAGAGCGACGTGGAAGAGCTTTGGGGGGGGGAGTGATATGTAGAGGCCAATAACAAAACCCAAACTGTTTGTATGATCAACTTAGAGAAACTCTGGGACTTGGATATCTGGTGGTTGGCCGATCCCCAAGTTTTTTCAGCTGACAGATGAGCGTCCAGAAGGTGGTTTAGAGGATGAGGCCAGGCGGCCACGTGGCCCGGCAGGGATTAAGCGGCAAGAAGAAGGTAAGGGGATTAGACTCCAAACGGAGCCTGCTTTTTTAACCTCTTTATCGTGGTCACACTGAGGGCGCACAAGGAAATTCTTCAGACAAAAACTGAAGTTCTTTCACTCTCCGTCCCTCCTCTCCGTCTCCTCGCTCCCTCCGCTCTTCCCCTCATGCAGCCACGACGGGGCTCCAGCGGGACGCAGAAGCAGAGCTGCAGCTGAAGGACTGAGCTGTGGCACAGACAGGAGCGGACTGGACCTGAAGACGCTGTGCCTGCACAGATGAGGACGGTCCTGCACACTCTGTGAATGGACTCCAGATAAAGCGATTCTGGATCGTGTTGTCGTTTGCGACAGTCTCTTTACAAATGACAACTTTAAGTTTGAAAGCCACATAAACTAGCTCATCATGCTTTTGAAGTCAGGACTATTCTTCATTTTGTGTCTGTTTACCCTCCAAGCAAGTCGAATCAAAGGTAAGAACCCTGCTGGGATGCTGGTTTTACTGCTATTCACCACACGGTTGAGATTTTTTCTTTCAGTAATTTAACTTCGTGGGATGTTTGGAGAAAGATTTCAAAAGTTTCAAAGTGCTACTTTTTTTTTGTTGGAAAATACAGATTCTACAATTGACAAAGATGATATTTTTCTAAAACGTACCTGGTTCAAGAATGACTTGAACTTGGGAACTTGGAAAATAACAAAGATCCCGTTCACATTAATTTACGTCAGTTAAAGTAAAGACCTTTCTGCAGGTTTTCTATCAATGAGGTCCTGCATCAGAGGAGACTTTATAAGATAGTTATTCACGTTAATGTCAACAATTTAAATTGTCTGAAAACTTCTGAAAAGGGCTATCTCATGCTCAGACAGATCTTTTGATCATTTTTTAAAAATACCAAGTAAACAGCGAGCCACTTTTACTGTCATGAATATTCACTATGAATTAAATGGGCATACTGGTATAATAGAGGAAGATCTCTTCATTTCACCAGGCATAGCAAACGCGTCCGCGCCGCTTGTCTGGTTCAGTGTGATGTGCCCGGGTGAGCTCATTATCCTGGAGGAAACAAAAGCCATTCTGTTCCCGGTGTCGCAGGACGCTAATCTTTTCTGGCTTGTAATTCTGCTGTGAGGCCTTTTTTTTCCTCGGCGGCACCGGGGCATTAAAAACTCGCTCAAACGCTCCCTCCTCTCACTCGGACCCTCGTGTCTCTGCATGTGAAAGTCAGGCTTCAGGCTTACCGAATTCCAAACGCCGACTTACAGTTTCTCTCGCTGGTGTGACTAATAATGGAAACGCACATGATGGATTTGGCAAAACAAAAGCAAAACCAAGCTTCTGACCTGCTGAACCTGAAGTTGTTGTCAGCTAAACGGGTCTGCCTGTCAAACAGTAAACTGGGGGACATTTGTCCACGAGCCACAGGCGTCATCTTGAACGTTCTTGGTGCTGAGCAAAATTTGGATTTGAGAACGACAATATCGGTCATTGTAGACTAGAGGTTGTTACACACGTGTAATACAGCGATTTACACTTTTTTCTCTTTTCTTGCCTTACAATTGATGTCACGCATAATATCAATGAATGCCTGTGATTTTTTCCACTCTTTCAATTTTATTCTAATTTCTTTACAATGACAATTAGAACTGCCCAGATTCACAGTCATGATTCTATAAATGCCACTCAGCCATATTACTTTATAATATAACATAGTTCAATGACAAGTAACGTCAAAAATGTGACGACACAAAGAAACTATGGGGTTAAATATGATAATCTGTACTAATCATCCAAATTATTCTTCTAATATGATTATCATAAGGCCTGCGACTAATGATCACCAAAGCCTGTCTCATAGCTCAGGGTGATCTGTTATTTTAATCCTTTTTTACCGACAACTTGAAAATTCTAATTTGTTGAATTTTTGTATTGTCATTTATGTTTTACATCCAAATACACCCTATTGTATATTAGCTAATGCTGCAGCTGGGCTAACGTGTTGCATTAGCTTGTTCAAGTCTTAGTAACATTGTGTTCACGTGCATGCAGCATACGTAACAATCTCTGCACTCTTTCTGTGTTATTCTTCCTCTGCTTGTGGTCCAGTGCTCAGAATGACTTCTTGATGCACAAATAGTTCCCTCTTGTGTTGTTTATCACCATCAAAATGCAGAATCCCCTGCTAAAAGCTTTGTGTCTGATGACAGTATAATAGTGAATTTCTTAGTTACACTCAATTGCTTTTTCATATTTTTCTTTTACCTCAATTCTCTCCTTTAATCTAAAGGACGCACAGTGTGGGTCTTATTCGTCAGTGCGTCTGATGATGCTCAGTTTCTGTTTTTGGGCTCATAAATCCTGGCTTATTGTCTTAGAAAGTCCTTTGAGGTTTGCCATTTGGCATAACAATCAGCCCTTTTCTTCCTAAATAGCTTTATTCAATGGGGTGGCACCCTGGATTGCGGTGTGGAAATATTCCTGTAATGCCAGGGTGTCTGAGCTTGTTTCATTCCTGAAGGTAATCTGAAATAAAGGGCAGATTTCCTCGTAATGTCTGCATGCAGGTCTGGCTGTGGTTGTAATTTCATGTGGTGTGATCGTTAGCCGCTAAAATCAACTCAGTATCCAAACCTTACTTTGTTTTTGACTTCTTTTATTTTCACCAGTGTGTGTGTATTTGCTCTACACACACACACACACACACACACACACACACACACACACACACACACACACACACACACACACACACACACACACGCACACACAGCTTGATAGAGTTTGGTAACTTATTTGGGTTTAAGGTTCTGATTCCTTGATACACACCACAAGACTAAAATGGGATATTTTCATGGAATTTCAGCCATTTAGTTCCATGAATAAAGCAAACATGCAAGAGACAGATTCAAGTTCAAACGTATGCATCTGTGAAGTGATGGCAGTTCAATGTTGTGTTTAATTATACCTACGAAAGCCCGTGTTTCCACAATCCAGTTCATTGGGAAAGTTTTTTGTTAATATTTTAAAAGTTTCAGGGACAATATGAGATGACATCACGGTGTCGTCTTCAGGGATTTTGTCTTTCTAACAGAACGAGTGCAACTCCCTGTCATTTTAAAACACTCCTTTGCTCTGCTTGTTGCAATGCAAACTAAGCATTTTGTAGGTAAATGATAACCATGTTTTCCTAACTCAAACTCCATGTGCTGAATACTGTTTGAACATTTTTATATTTCTTCCCGACAACTTCCCCGCCTGCTCTTGCAGACCTACACGATCACGGTTTTTCCGGCCTCAGGGATGTGAAGTACAGACACTTTCTAGAAGCCTCCCGGCCGATCAGACACACCACAAATGTCAGAGCGGAGCGGGACGGACACCGGACGAAGAGGTCGGCGCTCTTCACCACGGGGGTCAAACTGTGTCCCCAGGAGACGGTGAAAGCGGTCATCGGCAGCCATCGGGCGTATTACAAGCTCAGAGGTATGTACTGGTTAATGTGCAACTTTTTACAAAATAATGACATTTTATGGTTCCAAATAATCTGTGTGAAATCTCAATGAAGCACTCAAGCATATTTTTGTGCAGTTGTGAAGTTTTGTGTTTGACTATCATACATTGAGGTTAGTACAAATGTCTGATATTTGTTTTATTTTAGAACCCGTGACATTTATGTGATTATATGACGTTGTGGTTTAAAGGATACACACAGTGAAGCACCTGATATAATAAAGTTAAATGCAATTATCTTTTGTCCGAGAGGAATGAACTGCGGATGATTCAATGGGGGATGATTGCCAGCGCGGCTGTCACAATGGCAAATAATACAAATACAAACGGCTGCAATGCCGTATGATTTTAAAATGAGGCAGATTCATTTGTTGTATCCCAGGTAACCGTTTAAATTCAGAAAATTTGTTTGTCGGAGAATAAATTTCCCACAGGCATCACGACATCAGACGAATTTTGCCAATAGAGGCAACTAAAATATATTGACGCTTCAGGGGGTGTTTGTGCTCATGATTTTAATAACCACAAAATTGTCACGGATTTGAATATAGCGTTTGACATTTACTTAAACGGGCATTCCAACGTTTTGGGCTTTTCCATTTATACAATGTTAAATATTTGTTTTGATGTATTATAGCATTATGCCATCGTGGACTGTTATGTGCTGTGTATCTATAAGTAAAATGCATTGAAAGGTTTCTCTGAGGGGAGCAATGATATGAAATTTCTCAATCAAAGAAAACTCCCCCCGATGCAGAGGTGCCAAGATCATCAGTAATTTGATTTTGCCTTTTAGTAATTTCTATCCTGCCCTTCCAGCAAATGTATATAATGCTCTGTCCAGTTAGCCGTTATTTTTTCCCCACATACAATTATATTGGTCTCATTTATGGTTATTTCTCATATTTTTGGAGAAAAAGTCAAAACAAAACATCCCAACAGTGATGCGACATCTCTTCAGTCTGTCAGGAAGTGATATGGGAAGCGTTTCGGATCTTCTTGGACAGAGTCCCAAACTCAGAGGAGTACAGCGCCTGGCTTCATACCTGCCAGCATGAAAACCTCTGCATGGACGACCTGGCCCAGAACTTCAGTAGCTCTCAGGAGCATCTGGACATGGTGGCCGAAGTGAGTGAAGCATGCAAACACATCAACAGGACAACTTTTATGGACGCCTGGTAGTTTTCTCCTCAGTCTTTAATTGTGAAGCTGCACTAGCTGATATCTTGTTTCTTATTTCTAGAAAGTAGCCGAGCAAGATGAAAGTGAAGGGTATGTGCAAACTTCTTTCCCAACTTTTGTATTAAATGTGAACCAAAATATGTATGTTTTGTATGGTTTAGAAAGGGCGGAGTGGGCAAAGTGTTCTCATTGTCAGGAGCCAATGAAAACATCAGAGGAGCATTTGTAACAATCCTTCTGAATTTGTAACAAAAGTGTTTCATTTCCAGGCTTGTGGCTGGATTCACAGAGGCAGGAAGGGATTGTGAGTTGAACGCTAACGCACAAATGTTGTTTAATGAAAGCAATGCCATTACTTAAAGATCTTAAGCAGCTATCAAAAAAGTAAAGAAAGGTTTTGTCCCAGGCACCTGGACACCCCCAACGATTCTGCTACCGACAGAGAGTGAAGTGGTAAGTTAACGTTTCAGAATCACAATTCACTGTTTTGAATATCTCACAATCGGAGCACGTTCAAAATCACCGTTTCGCTCTCCACTGCCAGATTCGAGAAGACCACAACATGATTAAAGAGAACTATGAGGAGTACGTTGTCGAGTTCAGAGTCACCATCGTCGACCCGACGTACAGCAAGCTGTTCACTGACCCGACGGCGAAGTACAGTGACATCGAACGAGAGCTCACAGAAAGGGTGAGAGACAATGACAGTTTGCCCCTCTCCAAACACACTATGCCCCTTGATAGCAGAGCTGTGTTTTAAAAACGCTTCACGGTGTAACTGAGGCCGATAAAACCCTGGAAGACAGACATAAGACATAAGGAAAGGAGCAAGTGAGATGCATTTGCATTGGACATTGTCTCACCTGCAACCTGCAGAATAGAAGGCCGGCTCCTCTGTCTGGGTCTGAATTCCTCTTCCCCTTTTCTGTCCTCGCTTCACAACAGTTTTGTGTCATTATACAAGATGAATTACAACGGCATCAATTTCATTTACAGCTTAACACTGCATTGAGTGTGCATCCGGGCTGATTGATTGCAAAAAGTGATTTAAAATGGGGTATTTAGTTAAGACCTCACAAGCCTGATATAGTCAATGATACTTGATTAGATCTTACTAAGAGGGCATTGACTGACACTCTAAACTCAGCTGTTAGGAATTACTTGTACCAATTCCTTTTTTGAAGAACTGATTGTTCAAACGTATCCACTAGAAAAGGCAAAGATCCCATCACGCATTGATCTTCTGTTTTTTTAAGATGGTCTCAAGAAATGGTTTCAAGAAGAATAGTGTGCACTAATACTAATCAGGTCAGGTCAAACTTTATTGTTAAACCTGCATAAATAATAACAATAATGGAAATAATTGCTTCTTTCAAGCAACAAGCTTTTGTTGTTTTGCAGCCTGCTGGAACATGAGTATCTTTATTTAACCTTCGTGGTTTTTACCAATTCTTACATTTTTTTACTCTCTCTACCTGTTGCAGGTTTGACAGTCACTAACTTTGCCCGTCAACTTCAGATACTGCTGCTTCCCTCCTCTCCTCCTTCCCTCCTTCCTTCCTTCCCTGCTGCTGTTGTGTTTCAACCTTTTTCTATCAAGGTGACAACTTTGTACCCAGAATGCACACCTGTACCCAATCCCCTAATCGGCTCCCCGGCCCACACTAATGGCCACTCATCTTCTTCTGCTTGTTATAACCATATCACTGCATCTATGGCCAAACGGCAGAATAGCATAACAATTCATATATTTCCGTAACTGGAACCAGGGAATCTCTCCCAATTTGCATTCATTTTCTGTCTATTATAGATTGACTGTTGACCAATTGTTGCAGCTCGAGTACAATGCAGTATTTGCAAATGTCCTATGTTGTTTTTATTGTCTGATTTGTTTATGCCCAATGGAAAAAAAATATGCAAAATGTATATTTAATCCTTCAGTTACAAAAATCTCTGAACAACAAGTCCAATACTGCAAACCAAGTTGAGAAAAAAGGCTCATGTGTTTTTTTCCACCACTTGTTTTGCTTTTCTTTAGATGGTTCGTGTGTTTGAAAAAGTTCCAGGATTCAAAGAGATTCGGGTCCTCGGATTCCGGTGGGTTCCAAGAGACCAAAAAAAAGACACAAATGACGACTGAGATGACTTTTATTATAGTGTCGGATAGAAATATGACATCCACAAAAAAGAATGTGATTTCTGCCAGTTATGAGGGTTTGTGACATGACTCGTTGTGTCCATCAGCTCAGAGGACGTGTCTGTGCGATACGCCGTCGTCTTTAATGGAGAAACGGAGCTCAACGATGAACCCGGCGGTCTTGAGGGGCTTGAGAAGGACAATGATGTATATGCCCCTAAACTGAAGCACATTATCGTTAAGGCCTTAAAACAGGATCTGTCCCTCCCGCTGGACATACAGACACTGAGCTTCGAGACGGGTAACAAAAACAGCACATTAACTGAATAGAATGGCTCGGAATGAGATGCTAAAGCTGCACGAACGCTTCCTTTCCAGGAACCGCGGTGTATCCGGTGGCCGAGCTCGGCATGAACCCCGTGGAGGCGCCCGAGGACGACGCCACGCAGGCGCCAACGGCGGATTTGGAGAACTCTTTGGAAGCTTTTGGAACCAAACCAGAAACACACACGTTTGTGCCTTTCATACCAAACGTCGTCCCAGAGATGATTTCCACCGTCACCGACCAGACTCCTTTAGTTTCGTCGGTAGAGGAGGAATCCACAGAAGGTGGTGAGTCTGGAGACATTAAAAAACCAGAAGCAAAAGTGGAAACAGTCACAAGGCGGGAAGAGGAAGCAGAGCCGGAGCTGGGGGAGACGTCGGCATCCGATGGCGGAGGTGAGGCGGAATAGGAAAAAGGACTGGTGACACGAGGTTAAGGCAACTTCAGGTTCAAATGTTATTTTAAAAGCAGAATGTTCAAGTTCAAGCAGCAGGGACACATTTACGGAGTCAAAGCCGTGTTGAGTAGTATGTATACACACACCGGAAACATCCCCAGGCTAGAAAGGTTAGAGTGAGAAGTATATTTTAATCTTAATTGTTGATGCCAAAGAAATGACTAATTGTCTGACTGGAGACCTCTAAAATAAGAATTGACTTGTTATAAATGGAGGAGAAAATTGATTATACGTCTCATACCAATTTACCAATTGAGCTTTGCTGCTTTTTGATTTATGACCATTCAACAGCACTTTAATTGATTAGTCTGGTATTGATCCACACTAGGTGGTGAAGACGTATCTGTTTTCGCTGTATCTTTATGTACTAAAACACAGCTTACAACATTAACATTAAACCCAACCTGAGAATAACTAACTGGATGATAAATTATAATTTTCAACAACCATTATCGCAAACTTGACAAACTCGACCAACTTTTAAAGTCACTTGAAAGTAAATATCAGCAATGGACTGTAATTGTCAATGCAGCTTTGCTTTGTGTGCAGCGAGTGACGAGCAAACTGTTCTTTTGTCCGCAGTAAAAATGCTGCACAATATTTTTGTGAGATAAAAGCATGTTGTGAATTTTTAATGAACATGGACTCACATATTACTCAGTAACTGGACTAATGTACAAAGAAAGGGTTTGAGTTAATGGACATATCCTACACAGCCACCACAGGAATCGACTTCTACAAATAGAATACTAACAAGTTAGCGGCGAAGACTTGCACTTAAACAGAGAGCTGGGAAACCATGATAAGTGTAGCATAATGCTTATCTGCAACTGTGCAGCAATGCAGTTTAAATGAAGATTTTTTAATTGTTTATCAGTGTTATTCCTGACGCTTCGAACTATGTTATAGCCGGAGAAACCCGATGCAATAACTCATAACAATTAGTGGACTTGTGTATTTATCTTATATTAAATAAACTCATTCTGGTCTTAAAACTTATTTTCTAAAATGTTTTATTTTGAAAGAACCTGAACCAGAGGATGAGGTCACCGAGGAACGTCCAACGCAACAGAATGAGGACCATCCTTTAGCGGCCCCCGACTCCAAACCAGAAGAAGCACTCACCGATGCAGCTATCGAGGTTAACTTGGACTCACCAGGGTCCGCAGATCCCCCCGTTACCGAATTGTCTGTGGTGGAAGCAAAAGTCCCAATCCCCACAACATCATCTCACGAGGAGTTGTTCCAAGGCCTTGAACCAGCGTCAGGTGGGAGTGTGAGTGGACCCTCCGAGGACAGGGACGAGTCGAGTGGAGGGCCCAGCGGAGCGGCCCCGGTTTCAACGGGCTCGCCCCCTGAGAACATTCAAGATGATACGAGCTCAACTGTGAACGGGGTCCAGGTGGAAGTGACGGAGCCTCTGGGAGACGAGAGCGGCAGCGGATTTCCCTCCGGGTTCGACGAACGCCCGGCTGAATCCACTGCTGCACCGGCTATGAGACAAGTCAGCACCCCTGTGATGACCGCAGTGGATAAGGGGAAAGAATTGGTGGTTTTCTTTAGCTTGAGGGTCACTAACATGATGTTTTCTGATGGCCTGTTCAACAAGAGCTCCCAAGAGTATAAATCACTGGAGAATACCTTTCTTGAGCTGGTAGGTACACACGCTTTTGTGTTGGATGTATTGATTTTGCATGCTTCATTTTCATATTGTTTTTTTTAACTGAACCTTAAACATGTGATGAAAGTACATTTGTGCAATATATGCTGTACAACTTAGATTTATATTGTTGTTTAGTAGGAGTATTACTATTTTGCAGTAGCCCTAAATTGGTGCTCAATCTAAATTTTGTTTTACAGACTTCCCAAGTGTGGATGCACTTTGCAACGAGCCTTATTCTCGCATTTTTTAATCTTAAAATGAACAGCAGATAAAAAGGAATTCATGTTTTTTCATAGAAGTCTTTAAGTGTGATATGGCTTCAACCAATGGCAGTGTGCTTATGATTTCATTTCAGAGAAGCCATTGTGTCAGCAGTATAAAGAATCATTCTGTTTCACTTAGACACAGCACTCTGGGTCCAGACACTCGCCAAATCCTGGAGCTTCCAGTAAATCTGGGCCTGGGAGGCAGAAGACTTTAGCTTCCATACCGGTATTTCTTTCCATATTGGAACTACATCTCCAATGCCTCCGAGAGAGCATGACCTTTCTATTTCTTTACTAACATTTTTGAGATGCAGTCTCTAACAATCTGAAAGCACCTAACATTTCTATACATTAGACATTAGACATTAGATCTTCCTGCTGCAGCTACTGTTGATTGCTTTTATCCGTGTCCAGCTCTAATGTTCACAAGCAGTTTATTTTTTTTTGTGTTTTGCCTTAATTTTTTGAACTTTGCTAAATGTTGGGAGATTTCATTGGCTGTTTGGATTCAGTTTGACTAATATTTTGACACATCATTTCATATAGTTTGTGTCAGCAAGGGATTTGCCCAAAGTTCTGGGCTACAATGTCAAAAGAGGCTGCGGCTATTAAGTAGAAAGAGATTAACTTGCAAAATGGTATTGAAGTAAAATGGATGCTGATGTTGAAACCTGCTCTCAAATATCGATTCAACATACAGCGTAGCTGAAACCAGCATCCGGTTAGTTCATCTGAGCACAAAGATATGAAACAAGCAGAAATAGCTAGCATGGCTCTATCCAAAGCCAACGCGGTCAACCTGCGGGAGATCAAATAAGTTTGCGGGCTCTGATATTACCAGCAGAGGTTGCCAGGCAACCTAATGGTGACAACGAGAACTTAGAAAGTGACCTGCACGGATGCGGCAATCAGGACACATAACCACATATATTATAAGATAAATTTCTCTGTGGATGTTGTTACCTTTGGACAAAGCAGAGCTAGCTGTTTCCCCCTGTTCTAGTTATTATGCCAAGCTAAGCTAACTGTCTGTAGCCTTATATTTAAGTGGACACACATGAAAATGGAGCTGATCTTCTCGTCTAACTCTTGGCAGAAAGACATTATGTTTCCCAATGTCAATGTTCTGATTTCTTCTCCGGTGTGATTTACTATAGATGCTGCTTGTTGAAATTGCTTATGTGTATCAGCAGGTAGCAATATCAGCTGTGGGACTATGAGTGTGGGTTTATGTGTGCAGTGTAAGTCTACCAAGACTAGCGTTAGTTCCCCACCAACAAGTTTCATTTCGTTTGTTCGTTTTGTTCTCCTATGTACGTTTGTGCATGTTTCGAAGCCTTAAAGATACATTTGCAGAGTGAATGAATGAGTACATAGATTGATGTCGGGTTAGTAGACCTAATAAGAAAGTCACGCAGAAAATAGCCTGTGGTAGTCTGAGTCATGAGACTCGGGTCTGAGGTTTGTTACTTGTGGTAAGAAGCTTTACGTAATGCTGGTTGGTTCCAGCAGCGGACACATCGTGCTATTGATGGCTTCAATCTTCTTAGTGCGACATCACTCAGGTTACATCTGTATGCGTGATGCAGTGCAATTACTGTGGTGGTTATTTGTTGTTGAAAGACTAAAAAACTATTTGTATGTACTACGATAAACAAAAAGACATTGAAATAAACTAGATTACAGACTGGTGGAGGTCATTTAGTTTCGGAGCATTTGTGTGTAAATGCACATATGTTTGATCATCGCCGCGATGTTCTCTTTTACATCATTTGTCGTATTGCTCCTTCCCCCTAAAAAAGACTTTTACATTTGTTTTATCTCCTTGGAGCCGGTTGAGGACTGTGCCCTACTAGCGTATATCGAAGCAACAAACATCATTTGACATCCCTATTTAGTGACACGGCTTAGTCCCAGGTTAAAGGAGGGGATATATTTCAGGCTTATCAGTGTCCCTGATCTGTGTTATGTAAACGCCTCAACGTCGAACTGAGAAGGTGCATCCAAATTGGATTGTGCACTTGCTGCAATGCCAAGGAGCAGAGGCAATGTGAGCTGATGTAGGTGGGAGTTTTTTAGCCGATGGGTTGAGAAAAAAAAGCTAATATTATAGTATATTTTGATAAATTATTATATATATATTATATAATATATTATATATATTATTTGTATATATAGTAAAAGACAAGTGCAAATTTAATTATCTGTTATGAATTTGATCTGGTTTAATTTCGTGCAGGATGCATCGTTAACTCATTAGAAACTGAAAATGTTTTTTATGGATTCACTATATCGATAGAATCAGTCTCTGCACAGGATCAGTACAAAAATCAAAAGCAATAGTTAAAAAAAACCTCTCCATCTCCAATCCTTTAATGGTTGCCCAAACCATGGTTATTGCGGCTTTCCCATATTAATCACTGTATTTAGTTTCCTGGCAAAACTAATGGGGTCAGACGTTTGAAATGGTAAGTATTTACCGTATACTGTCTAATACTCTATCCCATTAGGAATAGTGAACATATCTTCCTTTAAATGGGCCGCTTAGGCAGAGAGAAAGAGACACATAGAAAAACAAATATTTTAAACTGGCTCATAAATGAATGAAAAGTAGCAGGACAAATAAGAATAAGAAAAATGTCAAATAATATCCGCAGCCCATTTAAATGGACATGATGTAATGTTTTGCTGCGTATTGGACCCCATTTGTGATACAGTACATTCATTTTCTCTCAGTCTCATATATATGAATAGATATATGTAAACCATTAGCTTACAGCGCCTTCCAATTCCTCCTGTTTGCCTCCATTACTCCTGTACCTACTGGTTTGTAAAGCAACCAATAAAATTGGACATGGAGGTTGGAATTATTTTATTTCTTACCTTAAATCATGAAAAAAAAATGCATTTCCGTAGAGGCATAATATTCCTTGACGTTTCTTTTTTTCAACATCAGAGAGGGGATGTTAAATCAGGTCTTCCAAAACAAGAACCAGTAGATACATGTGTAACAAGAGAGAAGCATGTGTGCTTGTGTTATCGCGCTGACTGCATTATGTCTACTGTTCCTCCTCCGTCTACAACACAGACTGAGCACTGAGGAACTGGGCTTTGACCTCGCGTGGAAGGCAACAGGGTCGACTGCGCGGATTGGCATCTAATGTATAGTGTGCGATTGAGACAAATGGACAAGCCGGCCGCGTGTCCACTCGCAGCGCAGGCCGTTGCCCTTCTGCTCGGAACCTGGTACTCGCTAACAGACTATTACCTACAGGGAACTCGCCCCCCCCCCGGCCCGCCCCGTGAGCCCTGTGCCGGTGATAAGTGAAGAAACCCAATCAGAGCAGCAACTCTTATCTGCGGCTTGACAGCCAGGCCGGCTTTAGCGGCGTAATCTCTCCCTCTCGCACAGCGGCGGTTTGATGTTGGCCTCATCTGTAGTGAACGTGAAGTGGCTGGAAAGAGAGCGCTCCAGATCGATGAACATTGATGTGGGTCCATTACTTCAGCTGGTTGACTTCCTTCCCCGCCTGAACATTGCCACCGCCATCCGTCCGAGTCCATAGTCTTAATAGATTGGTTTTTCCAGTAATGTGAGCCGTCCGAATTACTGGGAATATAAAATGTGGGAGCATAGATTGGATTTTATTGCAGAGATGTTTTTTTTGTGATACTGTGGACTGTTTCTGCCTTTCAAAGGCAGAAGTAAACGACAAAAAATACATTTAAAATATGATTTTAAGGTATCCAAACCGCATCAAATAATGTTAAATCCACTAGAGTCAGAGGGGACGGCAGTAATTATTACTTTGCTTTGCTTTGCTAACTACCTTTGGCTACACTGGTTTTTAATACTGGATTTGACTTGTTCAGTGTTGTGTCTATTCACCTTTTGTTTTCTGCTCTTCGCCGACGTAGTAGCATGTTCTGTGTTCTGTGACAGGATTTCATGCTTTTTAATTATGACCTATTCATAGCGTTCACACTGTTAAATGTGACCTGAATAATTCAAAATCAGCGGTGCTACGACAACCTCGATACTGTCAGTGTGGAAGTAAAACTACAGGTCAACAAGCACTAAGCTGCCCTGGACTTCTTCTAAGGAGCACTGAGATGTTTATGACTTTACTTTCCTCCATCTTCCCCACAGCTTCTGCCATACCTCCAATCCAATTTGACTGGATTCAAGCAGCTGGAGATCCTCAACTTCAGGAACGGCAGCGTTGTGGTGAACAGCAAAATGAAACTGGACAAGCCGGTACCTTATAACGTCACAGAAGCAGTTCACTGCGTGCTGGAAGATTTCTGCAACGCAGCTTCCAAACGTCTCGACATCGAGATCGACAGTCGCTCTTTGGAAGTGGAACCAGGTGAAATGCCGCTGCAGCAGAAACCCTGTTAACAAAAAAAAAAAGCCCTTTCTGCCCTGCATCAGTTAGCGAGAGGTGGTGCGCTGATCTCTGCTCTCCCTCCTCTCTCGGTTGGCGTCAGGTGACCACGCGGACTCCTGTAGGTTCCTGGCCTGCAACGAGTTTTCTCGCTGCGTTGTGAACAGCTGGACCCAGGAGGCAGAGTGTTTGTGTGAGCCGGGTTACAGCGCCGTGGACGGGCTGCCGTGTCAGAGCACCTGCGCTCTGCAGCCGGACTACTGCCTGAACGGGGGCATATGTGAGATAATCCCGGGGCACGGAGCCGCCTGCAGGTACACAGGGCCGCACGGATGAGCGACTTCAAAATGGCACATTTGAACTGCGACATGGACCATTTTGCTTCCGCATGCTGACCGTTTCAAAAGCCCGGCTTGAGTCTTTAGACTTGTTTTCTGTTAGCTATTCATGTGCACAGACACAAACAGTGACTGTACGATGGTTAATTCAAGGACATTCGAGACTTGGATGTCGGTTTGACTCTTATTGGTGTATTCAAAAAAATCTCAGTATTTTTTCATGAATCATTCAGTTATCTAGTCAGAAAAAGTGATTTAATATTGGAAGCTTCAGAAATGTGAGGAAAAGCTGTTTATCTGTTTATTGACTATACCATGATGTATTTATTAGTTTACGCTTTTTTCCTTAAAAATCAAAAAGAGAAACTACGTGTTCACAGGGCGACTTCTCTCTGACCTGAATACGTCTTTGGGTTTCGTTCAGATGTCCTGTAGGTAAATTCTGGCACTACCACGGAGAGCGCTGCAACGAGCTGGTGTCGATGCCGGTGGAGCCTCCGCTCATTGTAACCTGCCTGTTGGGAAGCCTCTGCTTCGTTTTTGCCCTCATCGGCATTCTGATGTTCGTTAACAAGAAATGTATTAAGACCAGAAAGGCGATCACGTTGGTGTAAGTACGAGCCCTTTCAGTCCTCATATTGCAGCGATTTTGTGATCTTTTGTATTGAAAGCATGTTTACATTCACCACCTCATCTCCTTTACATTGTAGGCCTACCCTTGCTCCCTATGCCTTTGAGAATACTTTGAGGGTCAACCCCGTGTTTGAGAATGATGATGGTGTCTTAACTCAAGTGTCCACATTGCCATACCCTTCAAGCTCTTCTTCTTCCCAATCCCAACAGTCTGAACAAGAACATTTTGCCTCAATTGAAAATATACATCTGAGTATTGAGGTACACTGTGCTATATTTGCACAAATGACTAAATACTAACCTCGAACCTTCCGACTTCAGTAGTATAAACTAATACTTTTGAGAGGGTGTCAGAGGAACCCTTTCAAAAGGCTTTTTCCTTCTCATCCTTTCATACGTTTCACATTTGTTTTGCATCTCAAACTTCACACTCACCATCACAGTGGACAAACTAGCTGATGCATCTTTATGTTTTAAACCATGCTGAGTATTATTCTGATGGTATTTAAATGTTCCTGATACACAAAATCACACGATAACTTTAAACTTGCATGCTATCCATATTTTTAAAGACACTGAACTCTGCAGAAGTGGCTCTAGCTTTAATCTCCTGAGGTAGATCTTTCCTTCTGGCAGATCCTTGTAGTGATGATGTTGACTGCTTTTGTTGCCTCTGCCTCTGGTTCCATAATTTATTAATGAAGCACACTGTCTCCACAGATCCCCCGACAACTCTACACAACCAGATCAGAAAAGTTAGTCTCAGAAATGGTGGACTTCCATCAGTGCATACCACACAATGAGGTGAGGACCCAAAAGCCAAATCCTGAAAGACCCAAGCAAAAAGTATGAGGGGGAAAAAGTGTTGGACAATTTGATGAAACATGTTCAGAAAATTGAACTATAAAAGGGACTTCATTCACCTTTAGACATCCAACATGCATTTGAAGTGTTTTTGATATTCAATAACCTTTACTTCAAATATCTTACAGCTCTATGATGCGTGCAAAGGTAAAACATATACGCACGATGTCCCTGCTGAAATTTGACTTACAAACCAAATCATAGTTAACATTCAAGCATTTAAACAATAGCTGAAATATCATTGTGGGAAATTGTCAAGTATTAACCATGAATGATTTTCATGATCCGTGTGAATCAGTGCCCATCCAATGAAAGTCCCCGTCTTGAATTTAAGGACGTTATTTGCTTCACACGAAGCAAACACCTCAAAGAGCCACGAGGATATTCTTCCATATATTGCAGTATTCCAACGGCAATAAGCTATTTGTCATTGCTTCTCTTTTCTCTTCTAGACGTGGCGACCGCAAACTGAATACAGAACGTGCCGTCTTTTAAGGGCATCAGATAACGAATGTTTTGAAGTCAGCGCTCTTTGATGGGACCTTGCTTGTCAGCGGAGCAGCTGACACAGTGACACAGCGCATAACAGGAGGTAGCAGAGACTGTGTTTAACTTTAAATGGAAGCGATGGTAGGCCAGTCAAAAAGGTGTTTAACGTGTTGAAATTAATTGTTATTCATAGTGATCAAAGCGTCTTGTTAGACAGTGAGCTATGGATATTTAAGTGGAAACTAATATTTATTCTATATATTGAATGGTAGGAACATTTCCTGGTTAGTCTTCGCAAAAGGATGTTCTTTCCTCACAATGAGGTATTTATTATTTACAACTTGATACACTCGGTGGTATCTTGAATTTAGACTGTAAAAGCTATATTTTAACCTTATACCCCAAAAAGAGAATGAATGTAAAGGTCTGTTGATTTAGGTCATGACACATTCATTGTTCATATAAACATTGGTTGCTGAGCTGTATCTGTCCTATTCAAAATAATCTTCCAACTAATCATTTCTGTTTTGATTTTTTTTTACACATTTTGCATTTAAAAGCAAAAAATAAAATGTTCTTTTGCATACATTTCGTTTTGTTCCTTTTTGAGAGTCTCGTTGTCTGCGCTGAGGAATAAAAAGCAATTCATTGATGGACGACTACGGTCAAATCCAGTTTTTCTACGGTTGATCAATGTATTTATATAATCATCTACTGCTCTTTGTTGTTATTTTAACACAAAAGCAGAAAAACACCTACAAATGAGAACCCCAGTTTCAATCCACTTCACCACCTAATGCGATTGAGCTTTGAACGAGTGACGCCATCCACCTCACATTACCCTTTGTCGAATAAATCTACAAATCTTTATCCGCTGTTACCGTCAGGATGTCAGATCCGTTTACAGAGCACTGACCTCCAAATCAACTCGTTCTCACTTATCGGTTGTTGGTGAGCAACTGAGTAAGAAACGGCATCAGGAAAATGAGTTTAGATATTTATTTTCTACAGTATTCCGGTGTGAAACAAACCACCAGATCTAATTTTGAAAGTAAATCATTAGTTACAGTCGGGTACTGAATCTTTCAGTAAATAAGCGAACCAGATGAAGGTAAAGCTTGATTGATAGCTCAACGAGATGAAGGAATTGATCATAATCGAACCAACACAAGAGTCAAGTAATCAGCCTAATAAACTAGTATGTGACTAAACACACACACACACACACGCAAATTACATTTTCTTATTTCATTGTCTGTAAAACAAACCCAAACCAACAGAACTGCAAACATGAAAATGAATCTCTACATTTCCCCTCTTCTGTAATAGATGAACAACAATAATAAAAAAAGATTCCCTTAAGATTTCTAACAGTTACGAGCTTTATACACAGCTAAATTAAATTATAGATGAATAAAAAGATAATCTTCTCAGATGGTAATAAACCCAGGACCTCTTCAAATTAATTAACGTCTATCTAAAATAAACTTTATGACTATTTGGACTATTTTGTGTAAAGTCTTGAAAAAGTATACAAATGTATCCATTCCATGATTGTATTTCAGACTTGCTGTGGACTGAAATATAATCATTTATATAATTGAAATACAGTATTAAAGTCTTCATATCCAGACGACTACAGAGGGTGACCCGATTAAATACACATATGTGCTCACAACGTCTAATGCATTGTTCCTATCGCAGACCGTTAAGGTTTCCGGTAAAGACCTACATAAGCTAATTAAGACGGCCTGGGTGTAGTGCAGCTACAACATGTAAGGCCTCCCAGTGGGATTTTCAATTCAAGCATAGATTGAGAAGAAGACAGAAATGCCACACTGCAAATTAAAATATATAAAAAAGGGAAATTATTCTTTTGCAGGTGTTTTAAAAAGAAGATGAAACACTTGGTGCTTACAGTAAGATTTTATCAGGAGAATCTTTCTCTGTGGTTACTTCTTTTCATCCCAAATGCCGCGGGTGAGCCACGTTAAATGTGTTTGTGAGCCTGCGTATCAGTGTTATGTCGTAGGGCGCTTATCTCGCTGCCGTGGTTCACTTGAGGAGACTCTGAAGCATGGCGGTGGCGTATGTGGGGCGGGCCTGCTTGTTCTCGATGGCTTTCTTCAGGTACTGAATTCCATCGCAGCGTTCCCAGATTTCTTCAAACTGCCGGGGCAGGACCTCCGCCCCCCTCTTCCTGGTCAGACCGGTCTCCTCCAGGCTCAGTTCACACATCTCCATGTCGTCTTTTCCTGAGGCGGGGACAGCGAGGAAAAATGTTAAGACAAAGGGACGTCTACTTGTGCAGTATCACAGTTAAATGTGGGATTTTGAGGATTTTATTGCTGTAAATTAAATAAACAGTATATATTCATATATTATTTTACATCTTTGCATATTGGATAGTTTACAAAATCAAACAGCAATTTAAAGGCTTTTCTTTTACTGTTTTCTGACATTGTATAAACTAAACGAGCATTTCCTAAATATTAAAGACCCAAGAATGATCTGTGTAGATTTCTTTCTTTGACTTTTCTCTGCGTTTTGCATTGTCCTTGTGAAAAACAAGATGCTTTGGTGATTCAGTTCTTCACATAGCCTTAAACTTAACTATCTGAACAGGACGAAATAGTATTTTGTTAAACAGCTCATCCAAAACAAACTGATGACCTGAGGTGACGTCACAAGTAGACATTACTTCCTTTTAATATCCTAAAATAAAATAAAAAGTTTCAATGCACTGGGATGTTTTTCGAGAGAAGCTCTCTCCGTTCGGATGACAAAAAGCCAAAGCTGCTGACTCACCTGCAACCAACACAATCGGTTGCTTTTCCGGGTGAAGCTCCATCTGCCTGGCTATCCAGGGCCCATCGAAGTGGGCGTACCACCAGCCCTTCTTTTTATTCTGCGGGTCTTTGTACTGGTCTCCCGGTCGGATGAAAGGAATGCGGAAATATCGCTGCTGGCGGTTCATGGCCACCTCCTGATGCTGGGCAGTCATCGGAGGAGCCGGGTTTTGTTCAGCTGCGGTGAGAGTGCGACCACGAAAGGTATTATATTAGACTGTTGTTTATCTCCAAACAACTGAAATGGGGTCTTGAATATCCGCTTGACACCCGCACGGAACAGGCTGAGTGGGGTGGAAAACCAAGTATGAAGCTTTTAAAACATAAAAAGATTAAAAAAGTCCAAATACTGTATGAAATACACCCATATATATATATATATATATATATAAAGGCCAAAAGAGTAAAGCTATTATATAGCGACATTTTAAGAAACAATAAATCTAAAGTCTCCATTCCCCAATCAGGCTCAATGTTTGTTTTCAAGAGGAAGCAATATGCAGAGAAGCGGTAACCTTTGAAGCCACACAATAATACGTGTGGGCGTTTGTGCCACAGTCCGCGCTCGGTCAGGTTGACAATGAAATGAGCAAAAGCAGCGAGAAGTCATAGCAGCGGCTGCTGAACACAACAAGTCATGGCTGGCAGTTACTTGCCAATTAGAACAAATATTTCTGACAGAGCCAGACACAAGGCGGCTGCACTTTTAGGCCGAGGTGTCTCGTTGGCTAATTGAAAGGTTATTTTTCTGCTGGTCATTATTTTCCCGCCAAAGACGGCGAGGGGCACGGATGGAGAAACTGCCCACTTGTCACCTGTATGTCACCTGTAACTCAATGTTTCTGAGACACGGCGTGCACAGTATGTTTATGTGCTGGGTCGGTGAATATACAACTTTGGGTCCACATCCACAAGCGATGCAATAAATGGTAATTACAGTAATTAACGGAATCTCTCCACCTACCGTAGTCGGTGACAGATTTCGGAGCCCTCTGATCACTCCCGTCGTCGGTACGTTTCTTGTTCTTGGACTTCCAAGCGTGATAGACCTTCAGACGGCGGTGGAACTCCTCTCTGCAAGCTGCCAGCAGGTCAATGTCTGTCCACACAACACAAGTGTTGGAGTTTATTATTATTATTTTACGTTCTTATCATTGTGTAAACTGCTTTCATCCCGAATCGGCACACCCAGTTTGGTGTGCAACGCCTTTTGCTATCACTGCTGTACTGCTGTCCTTTTTAACGAACAGGTGCTGACTTCTCATGCTTGCATAGCTCACTCCCTCAATAAAAGGAGGCTGCAAGGGGAAGTGTGGTCGGAGTTGGCTGTGATCGAGTGAAGAGTCTAGTACTCCAAGATTCTTGACCGGGCTCCCCTTGCAGCAAGTAAAACCTGAAGTCGACTGAGTGTCTTTGTTTCTCGTGCTGTGAATCATTCTCTGGTATAATCAGCAGGTGTCATGGTTTGTTACTACGACCCAACAACGAGGACAGTGAGAAATGAGGTAATTGCAATCAGCATAAATGAAACATAAATGGTACGATTTCCATCACAAGTATTCCACAGTATGTTGAAGGAAAACTCGATTAAGCAAGAAAAGCGGTTAAAATTTAGACAAAACGTGTGAAAATATCTAAAGTAATAATCTCTGGTCGAGTTTCAGTATATTTCGAATATTTCCCATAATGCTGGATTGCCCTTTTAATTTGTCCCCTAAAACTCATTCTTAAAAAAAAAAAAAGACACCTTTCTAGAAGTATGAATAGTACTGCTTGTGAAGGTTTACTGTAAAGTGAATTAAAGTTTAACATCAGATGTAGTCACACTACACTAAAGTTATTTCAGAACATTTTGATTAACGTGATGTTTAATTTCCGATAAAATGAATATATTTATTATGAGGTCAACCATAGATGTGAATGAAACATTATTTGAAAATGTCTGAACAATGAATGGATTTCTGGAAAGACGTGTAGAGATTTTTAAATGTTCTTGTCATTTGAGTCCCATTGTATCAGAGAGAAGGCATATTACTCGCACCAAAACAATCTAGCGTCATAAATTGCACAGGCAAGATAAGAAATATACATTTTGTATGAACTGTCCCTTTAAGCTAAAAAATGAACCAAGTATAGAGATAATTTTAGGGTCTCGCCCTGTTGTGTCTTTTCTATACAGCAATCGCAATAAACCATTCACAGCACACAGTTGGTTGGTGATTATTTCTCTCTCTCCACCAATAAAACACATGCCGATGAGTCGTGGCAGCTGTGGGAACATCCTCAGATTGGTCTCTTGATATTTCAGGCAAGATGTCTTGTGTCCACAGTATGCACGGCTGCAGCATCACAACAATGCTGTTCAAAAATACATTTACGGGGATGAAATGACCTAGGAAATTGGCATACGAAAGTGCCAAAACCTGAGCTTACTTACTTTTGGGGTGGAGGAGGGGAAATAGTAATATCATGTGTTGTCTGCTTAATGTATCTGGAAAGGCTGGTTCAGTGGACACCAACTGTTCAGTTAATAAAAGCTGAAAGTCCCGCAGAACTCGCTTGGGCTTTCTCACCACAGGAAGTGTTGATGACATCTCGCAGCTCAGCGTATTTCCACTTGCTCAGGTCGTACTTCTTCACACCAGCAGCGGCTTGAGTCGCCTGCACTTGAGGGCCCCTGTAAGCAGGGAACAGTTTAACGTGGGTGTGTGAGAGAGAGACAGAAAAAAAGTGTGAAAG